TACAGTGCTTTTCAGGCCAGTTTATTAGTAATTTTTCAAATGGGAACAAACTGGACATAAGATCAGTAGAAGTCTGGGACTAAAAAAGTACTAAACAGCTACATGGTTTGACTATAAACAAGTGTATGTCTTTAAGGGGACATCAGAGAATATTCATTAATTTGTTGATGTAATATCTGATTATATTACTTTCTATGTAGATTTATTACTACATCCAAATACTTAAAGGATTTTTTTCAATAAGACGTGGGTAACCAAGAAATCCTAATAAAGAAACCTGATTTTTCTCAGGGGGATGCACAGCTCAAGAGGGCAATTCAGAAAGAGGTGAAAAGAGAGATCAGGAAAGCTAAAGGTTAGTACAGGGAAAAAGAAAAGAGTGTACTGTTATGACTATGATGAGGGCAGGTAATTAAATCCGTGTCTATTATTTCTTAGAAGGGCAATACTAATATTTTACCAGTGTTAAATGACACAAGGTGGATGGACATAACATAATTTTACAAATGGGGGGGCAGTTACAAAAATGGTGAAAATTTGACCAAGCAGTTAAGTCAATATCTAAAATAATTATTCATAACCCCCAACTTGTAAGTGATTTCTCCAGAATATACCCAAGTGGTTGGTATAATTAGAGGAGTGTGGATTCTTTAGTCTCTTGCACAGCTTTGGTGAAAAGATTAATAATCCAGGCACACTTAGTTAAACAAATATTTATTACAATTACGAGACACAAACTACACTACACACAACAAAACAATACAATACACAAGTTATTCTATGTATAATATTTACAAAGAAGGCATATCAGGCCTACATTTCTAATCACCTAGAAAAAAACTAAGTATAAAAGTAAGTAAAAGTAAAATTTCTACTAAGTATAAAACTCTTAAATAATGCCTACAGAGGCCAAAGAAGAGATATGCTGCCTTCTAAATAAATGTGATACCACCTGCAGTTAAATCTTTCTCTCTGCACCCAGATGCCACACAATAAATGGGAGCCTATCTCCCTTTTCTAAAAATGCAACCTAAGCAGGAAAGACGTTTTTGACCAAGGTATCTGTTACCCAGGAAACCCAATTTCCCTCAAGACAAAGCATAGTAAGCTTTCTCTAGCAAGGTTCAAATACTTAGCTCCAGTTGGGTTTTGTTTGGATGATCATGATGTGGTGCATGTTTCAAGTTCAACTCCTCTTGACTACTCTCTCTTCTCTCTATTTGTGTCTTCTTGTTCTCTTCTTCTTGTTATTAATGTGATCTTATATTGTATGTTTCTGTACTGCTCATTAACCCACAACTTGCCTAGGTATATCAAGGTAAACTTTACAATAGTTTTTTTGCTGAAGGGACCCCCCAGACCTCAGCCAAGACCCTCTCAGCTTTAAAGCTAGAAGCGTTTACTCTTCCAAGTGTCACAAACTTTATCTAAAATCTAAGAGACACTTCTCAGTTACAATTTAATTTACTGTTACAGCTTTAGGTAACTTGCAATTTTGCTTGTTAGTTTGGATAAATAACTACTACAAACTGTAATGTTTGGGGGGAATAGTGAACATACTGTAAGAAACAAAAAATATTGAGGTTCCCATTTGGAAGTCACCTCTTTGCCCCAACATGTAATCTAGGACATTGCTTTTCCCCTCTGCAATATCACTTTTAAATGAGCCTTGTCTGGTCCTGGTTTATATGTCTTTATTGATTATTTAAGTTAAGAATTCCATAAAATGTATAATTTATTGTATTTATCATTAATATTATTCTCATTATCACAAATAATTGATTGTAAAGCATACATTACAATTTTGTTGGTAGGAACTATACTGTACATAGAAGTTGTACAGTATGTATATATTATATACACATTTTATTTTGTTAAAAATAATTTGATAATGGATATTTCAGACAATTCAAATACAACAAACTTTGCATTTCATGTTTTTGAAACTGAAGAGCATCAGAAAATCATTTTACTCTTTTGGAATTATATTTAAATTACATGTTGATACATATCTCTGATACTTATAATTTGAAAAGCAGAAAGTGTATATAATTTGAACAATGCACTGCATCTGTTTGTTTTCTTAAGAAACATTGTGTATCCTGTACCCATTGTTCCTATAATAGATGTACAGATATTGTGGAACAATGACATGCTTTGAAGAAATGACAACTGCATGAGAATAAGATGATTTTGACACGAAACGTGTTCATTACCGTTGTTAAATATTTCCTTCTTTTGTATCAGGAAAACCTTTTTGTTTGATATGTTTTATATTGGTTGATATTTGTTTGTATTTAAGCAGAAAAATTTAGAATTATATGCTGAAGTAAATATTTATGCCTGATATTTTTGGTGAGCAGACATTTTGCTGTAAGTAAATCAAATTATTTAAAAAGGGACTGATACAATATAAAATTCAGACTGCTAGATGGCTTATCTATTGTTGATGTCATGTCCTGAATTTTATGTGTTATACGCTTTGAATGTTAGGGTAACGTATCCTACTACAGTACTGCTACTGTACACCCTGTACATTACACCCAGTGGTCTCCTTCATGTTTTGTCTTTGGTTGTGAAGAGTAGTCCATACTAAGACTCTATATGCTTGGCATCTGTAGTATTAAGAAAGAGTTTGCTGCCAGTGCAGAATCTGGAATATGATGTGGACCTGGTAGTGAGCCCAGAAACCTCACTTGAATTCACGTTCACTGTCAAAAACAAATTGTTTTATACAGTGCCATTTAAGGTGGCTACTCAAAGAATGACAGAATGACAACAACAATAAAAAATACACAAGTTATGCACAATGATAATATACAATGAGAGGAGACACTAGATGGGGGTACTTTTAATACAGTAGGACCAGAGGAGTAAAGAACAGAACTCATTAAGTAAAGGCTCTTCTAAAGAAGAAGGTTTTGAGTCTAGATTTGAAGGATAGAGTTCCAGAGCTTTGGGTCTTAACAGGAGAAGGCCATAAGACCCATAGAGTGTAGATGGGCTTGGGGGACAGATAAGAGAACAGAATTAGAAGAGTGAAGGTTGTGAGGTGGGGAGTAGGGCGATAGTAGCTCAGGCAGGTACTGAGGTGCCAAGCCATGCAAAGCCTTATAGTTGAGCATGAGGATTGTGCAAAACCTGACAGGAATGCCAGTGCCGGACTCCAGGATAGAAGTAATGTGATCACTTGCACTAGACCTGGTCAGGATTCTGGCTGCCGAATTTTGAACATACTGGAGTTTGTTCAATGTGCGTTCAGAAATCACAGCAAGTAGAGTGTTACAGGAGTCAATACAAATTGTAGAAGTCAAGATGTGCTTAAATTGGCAAATATAATCTGATGTTTTGTTAAAGATGTCAGATTAGATTTCTTTCTGCTTTAATTTTTTGCATTATGGAGCTGATCATAATTTAAACAAAAACCAGCACTGAATGTATATTTGTAGTCTAAGATGGTTGGACAAAACATTTTTGTTACCAGGATGAAGTTACTTAAGATTCTGCTTTGTATATTCTAAAGAAGTGCTATCATTTATATAAATTGGAGTTCTGTTATGTTTAAGAGCAGATATGGGTGAAACTGAGCCTAAAATTGTTAAGCTTCACTTTGAATTTAGCTGTTGCAGCATCTGCCACAGAGAAATGTGAGACAAATCTAGCTGTTGAGTTAGTCTTCCTGCCTCTCTTCAAAAATACCCACTACTCTGCATCTCAACGTGGTCTTGTTTTTGTATTGTAACTGCTCCCAGTTTTATGTCGGCAGTGTGGAGAATGGCAGGCTGTAGACGACATTACAGGCTTGCAGACCTTTTCATTACAATTGGGCTTGCTAATGATTGAACAGGTCATAGCTGAGTTTTCATTGTTCAGTGTAATTTTTATAAATATTTAATATTCTTAGAGCCAATGCATTTGTACTCAGATAAGGGAGAGTAATATATGTCTTTTTAACCACACATTCTATATACTATAGTACATTATGCGATGGTATAGGATTGGAATTGATTATATGTAAAACTTGCTAATCATGCAAATGTCAAGACCCAACTGCATAAAATGTCCGCATAAAAGTGCTCATTTTCTTTTTCCATGGCACTATAGAAGCCCAATAGTACAGTAACTGTGTGTGTCCTGAAAAAAAAA